GCCACAAGCAGTTGGCTGGCTGGCCCTACCCCATGGTCAAACTCCCAGTCGAACTCCTGGTCAAGGAGACAATTTGCATATTAGCCTTTTATTATATAGGATCATTTAACCAACAGCCTTTATGAGTTTGTGTTTTTCACTTATTTTCCAGCATTTATTGTTCATCTACAATAACTAGATCTTGAGAATATAAAGATGAATAAAACATCTTTGTCTGCAAGAAATTCACAGCAAAACCAATCTTATATTTTGAAAAATGTTCCTTTTTACCATGATAAAAAGGTAAAGATTCATAATTGCTTGATCCAGCACCTTTCAGAATCATTATCTCAATCAGACTTTTGAATAGGAGAATCAAGTACTAGAATCATTAAAAATTGGGGAGGTGGGAAGGCAATTATCTGAATCATCTTTTTTACTGCTAAGAAAATTTTGATTTACAAACTAATATCAATGTTTCACATTTATAAAACAAACAAAATGTAAAGCTATAACATGCATTTTACTGACTGCCTATCCTAGCAAAAATAAAAAAGTCACGTGACTAAATTTAAGTGTTAAACCCTTATGTCTATCTTTATAAAAATTGATTGTTAAAAAAAAATTTTCTTCTATGTGAAAGTAGGGTTTGCCAAGTTTCTGTCTGGAGCAATTTGTTATGGCTGTGTCATAAATCCCGGAAAGTTTGAATTTTTAATGGAAACACTGACAGACCTTTAACCACACTAATAAGGAGGGTGTTATCTTACACATGTCATTTAAAAATCTGAGCAAATCATAGCATGCTTGCAAAACAAGTATACTTTCCTTAGACTGTACTCTGGAATAAAGCTGGGGAGACCAGAAAAATAAAATAAACTAAAAACAAAAGTGAAAAGCACTCACACAATAGACTCTGAGGTCAGCTCGCCACACCCCAACTGAAGTAACTGGGCTCTGCGTGACACAGGGGCTCCCAAAGGACGTGCGTCTGAATCATCTTTCTCGACCTTCCACCAAACTGTAGCAGGACAGGCTTCTGGGTAATGGAAATGGCATCACCAACTCAAGAGTGAAGTTTACATCATTGTAAACATCTGCCAACGGGTTATGATTTAACAGTCCACATTAGGCAATATTAAATACAAGTCTGTCTACTATTGAAAACAAAAACAAGCGCCTTAGTATAAGTCTGCACTGTCCACTATGGCTATTAAGCACTTAAAATGCGGTTAGTCCAAATTGAAATGTGTTATAAGTGTAAAACATACTTCAGGTTTTAAAATGCTTAGTACATACACAGACACACACACATACACATATCTACATACGTGTATACACATGTATATGTATCTCAATTTTATATTGAGTGAATGTTGGAATAAAAATATTCTGCATATATTAGGTTAAATATTGTTAAATTTACCTGTTTCTTTCCCCTTCGTAATGTGGCTGCTATAAAATTTAACATTTCCTGTGTGGAAGGGTTGCATATTAGATTTCTAATGGACAGCACTGGTGTGGACAATGAGGGTGGGGAGTGCAGGAATGAGTTCTAAGAATCCACAACTGGAGATCCAGGCATGGCTCTCTGCTGTAGTGTAGTGGATAACTTACTTCTCTAGCTTTCCTCAAGCTTCCCCCTGGCAGTGTAGGATGGGCCTAATTGTTTGTTAAAACAATCCCTGACCATAGACACAGACAATAGGGTGGTAAAGACTTGGGGTGGGGGTGGGGGTTGAAGCGGGTGAGAGAGGACCATGGCGGGGGAGGGGAAGAGAGACAAATGTAATGCTTTCAAGAATAAAGATTTATTTTAAAAAAAAATCCCTGAGAGGGAGCTACCTGTCAGTGGGAGTCATCTCACTGGCAGAACTGGAATGGGCCTGCAAACCAAATTGGTTAGGCTTTCCTAACGACTCAGTCTTTTATGGGGATCAAGGGTCCTTTGCCACCCTGGAACGCTGATGGAAAACCTATGCTCTGTTTTAGAAAGCACGGCATTCTAGAGTTATAGCTGGTTTTGCTGTTTGAAGCTGAAAGGTGTGGGGTTGGTACCTTCTTGTGGCAGATGGCTTTGGGCATTGATAAAGAAAATTCTATAGCTGCTGCTTAATTAGAAA